AACTTTTCCTTGATCAAAAGACCAAGGATGCCTTTCACATGGCATGTGTGATCACCCCCACCGACCTTCCTCCAACCCCTGCCCAAGTGATTAAGATAAATTATTAGTTTCTATTGTAATTTTGAACATATCAAACGAAAAATTAGTGATAACATCTAAAGTTACGTATTTGTCTCCATTGGGTCGAATCAGCGGGCATCTCTCAAGAGGTATCGGTTGCCTCGGGAGGGTTGAGGGACCTCGCAACCACACACACGACAAAGTAGAGGAAGAGGTTCCCCCTGTCTCCTCCTCCATCCCTGCCTCCTCCTCCACCCCTGCCTCCTCCTCCACCTGTACCTCCTCCTCCTTAGAGGATGAGTGAGCAGAAGGTAACTCAGACGGCGACGAAGGTACAGGCGACGGTGGGCTTGTCTTGCCTCCACCCTTCCCTCGACCCTTGGGTCTACCCCGAGGTCTCATCTTGGACCCCTCAGCTACATCGGACCCTTTATGCGTCGCTGTCGCTTTTGAGTAAAGCGACGTTATCCTCCTCATACCACCCACCATTGTTCAATCACCTATAATTAAAAAGAGTAAACCAATTAACACAGATAATACATCAAAATAGATGCAAAATAAACAAAACATACTTAGAAAATAACAAGGTATGACAAATAATAAATCAATTAGCATGGATCATACATGTATTAGAAATAATCATCATGATCGGGATTAGCTGGATCATAAGTCTCATCATCACTATCACGCATGTCAATATAATCATCCTTGTGCTCTGAAGGAGGAATGTCATCATCACCGTCATTGCTTAGATGTAATCGCTGAAGTAATTCTAAGCCCATCACATTCTAAACCTCATCTCTGGCGTCCTCATCAGCAGCACTTTCATTGTTTACTTCCATACCCTGAGGTTTGGTTAAGTCTATCTTAGAACTCCCTTGGAGCCCATCTTCTTTAAAGAACTCTCTGTCATATGTGTTGGGGTCTATGTTATAATCTTGATTGTTTGGGACAGGTAGTTTACCATGTGGCGATGCCTTGTACACAACATCCCAACCCTTAAGACGGTCTACAGTTTGGCACGGGTATGAGAGATAATAAACTTGCGTGGCCTGTTGAGCCACAATATAGACATCGTCTCCTGGTAAGACGGATGATTGTCGAATTTCAACTAGCCCAAGATTAGGGGTTCGCCTCACTACTTCAGGATCAAACCAATGGCATTTGAATATAACGAGATTAAGAGGTTTGCAACCATGAAACATGAGTTCGTATATTTCTTCAATTCTTTCGTAACACTCAACCCCATCTAAGCTTTGCGTAAAAACTCTGGTATTTGTGGTTCTTCGATTGGGCCGACTCTGCTCGTGGCTTGTTGTGTGAAAGCGATATCCATTCACGTCATAACCGGTAAATGACCTAACCCTATAGGCACAACCATCGGCAACCTGTCTCAACTCGGCACTCATAGACGCATTGGTTTGTCCCTATAAGTTCAAGCAGGGTAGTTCGTTATATTAGTCGCACATACGAGCAACTTGTAATGTCAAACTAAGTATGAGCCAAATTGGACAGTACCTTCTGTTTGAACCAAGAAATGAAATCGGACATGACTAAGTATGATGTCGCACTGGCCAGCAGATGCGGCGACGGGACTACACGGCGGCGGATGTAAGATTGGGGAAGAAAGGACGGAGGGGTGGCGGCGCTAAAACAAGGATCCGGAAGACTAAACAAAAATTTGTGATCAACCTATATGAATAACTAGCATTGCCCTCGATGGAAATAAGAATTACTAGAATGTGCACTAAGACTAAACAAAAATTTGTGACCAACTATACATTCGGGAGCAGGAAATTGTTGCAACTGACTCACCGCGATCCCTGGAGGCACCGCCCGATCAGCAGGCGAGCGAGAGCGCCGTGGCAGACCTCTCCCATGCGTAGCCCGTAGCGGAGCTCGCCTACGTCGCTTGCAGCCTACGGCACGGCTCGCAACGGCCGGGGTGGAGGTCGCAACACAGCCCACGTCATGGCGGAGCACGGCGGTGCCCGGGGTTGGGGGCCGGCGGCGGCGCGGGAGGCCGGGCGAGCGGGGGCCAGGGGCGGCATGGGGGCCAGGGGTGGCGGCGAGGCCGACGGCATGGGCTGGTGTGGGCGCTGCTGTGTGTGAGTGTGTGTGCGGCCGAGTACGGGACTGGGGTGGTTACGAGGGAGGTTTGCCGAGTGCCCGCGATCTAGCACTCGGCAAACCCCCGTTTTTTGTTTTTTTTATTTTCAAAACCTAAACTACTACGCGTGTGTGGGACCCGTAAAGCTGTTTGCCGAGTGTCCCAGTTTTGACACTCGGCAAACTACAGGTTTGTCGAGTGTTAGATAGCGGGCACTCGACAAACCCGTTTTATTTATTTCCCATTTCTAAATCCTAAACTACTGCGCATGTGTGGGGCCCGTGAATCTGTTTGCCGAGTGTCCTAGGTCTGACACTCGGCAAACTACATATTTGTCAAGTGCCATCTTAGGGACACTCGGCAAACTTCGTAAACTTTTTTTTTTCATTTTCCTTCTTTTCCATAACGTGTTTTCCTCAATTTATTCTGATATACTTTGAAAATACCTTCTCAAATTCACTGAACAATATATATTTGATTTTTCTAGGAATATTATTCTATTATTTCATGCAGTTATAGCTCAAATTCAATTTATATCAATTAAAATTCTATAATTGCACTTAATAAATTAAAATTATCTAACGGATCTAAAAATTTACCAAAATTACACATGAATCAATCTATGTTCTCTATTACCACGGTCTCCATGTATGATATCACGAGATCTTGACAAATCTCATGATTTTCAGACTTCATTTGCTTTTTTTAGAATTTAAAAACCATTCGGCCACACGTTCATGGTCGTGTTTCCTAAACAAGATGTTCGAAATTTCTTTTCATTTCCTGGGTAAGGCCTCACACCAGACTCAATAATATGAATATCGTTTTTCTACTCATTTTATTCTATTATTTGAATCACTTGCGGTTCAAATTTGACTTATACCAAAAAATTCCATGAAATGCAATAAATTAATTAAATATAGCAAACAGATCCAGAAATATATCAAATCTTAACATAGAGTACCACATGTTGTATGTGGATAGTAGAAAAAGTTTCAAGGTCAGAAGAGAAAAAAAACTTATTTATTTGTCGAGCGCCAAAAAAAATACTCGGCAAAATTATTTCTTAGCCGAGTGCTAAAGAAAAACACTTGGCAAACTTACTTCTTTGCCGAGTGCCACTAACGAACACTCGGTAAACTCCTAACGGCCGGCACATTAGCTGACGGATGTCCACGTGGCAGTTTTTTGCCAAGTGTCTCTGTTTTGCCGAGTGTTTTTTCCTAGTTTACCGAGTGGTCTTTTTTCAGCACTCGGCAAAGATATTGGTATGCCGAGTGCCTTTGTTTTGCCGAGTGTGGTTTCTGATGCAGTCGGCAAACAACTTTTTTTGCCGAGTGTCCGATGGAATACACTCAGCAAAGCTTTTGGCACTCGGTAAATCTGCTGTTTCCGGTAGTGCACCAACAATCTTGCCTGAAATAAAACTTGAGAACTTTGTAATCAAAGTTGCAGATTCATCAGGAGTAAAACAGCAACAAAGCAAGCCTCTAATCACACGGACCTCTCCCTTTGAACTGCGTGTTGGCTACGCACACAACGACCACCAGTAGCTTTCCAAAGTTCCTTCGAACACGAGCAGATGCTGAGTCATAGCACAGTTAAATAAGATAAGACCAAACGAAAGCCCAATCCCGGCCCTAGGGCACTCACCGCGCAACAAGATCCTACGTGGAAGTGGAACCAATCCTGGGCGTCCAGAGCATACCAGGCCGGGTTCTCCATGAGGTCGCGCAGCACCACCGCGGGGACGTGGGTGCCTTGGTAGCCTTGTTCATGGACGCCAGGCGCGCATGTGTTCCATCCACCATTTGGGCCTCGGTGAACCGGGCGTCGAACCTACCGGTGTGCGGATGGCGGCCGGGACCGTGGCGTGGTTGAGCTCGTCGATGCCGCCGAACCTGCACGCGGACGCCATGGCCTCCTGCTCGGCGGGCGTGGTGGAGTTGTGCCGCCGCGGGTGTCGGTCGGCTGAGGGCGGCGCTTCTGCTTCCCTGCTCCGCCCGGACGGCGGCCGCGTCGACCCGGACACCGGGTATACGTAGTCGGAAGGAAGATGGCGCCAGCCATCGCATTGGACAGCTCGATGATCCTGGCGGTGGCCGCGACGTCCTCCCGCCTCTCGCCTCGACGGCGGCGACTCCAGCATGTTCCCTTTGATGAGCGACGCTCTAGCCTCTGGGACGCGCGATCGCACGGCGATCGGGGTGGAGAGGGAGGCGACTCTTGCATGGGATACCGGATACATGAGAGCGGGAGGGGTACGCAAGCCGTGGGCGGACGCCCCCGCGCCGATTGCGTAACTGTAACTCCCGCATGACAGGGCGGCCGCGGCGGCGCATGAGGAGCGCGAGAGGGTACAGGTGGGCGGGTAGGCTCGCCTGGGTGAAAAAAAACAACGACGAGGAGTCATCGGCAACGTGAAACACAGGTGTTTTATATGTTCCTGCCTTTCTCCTCTCGTAGGTCCACTTGTCAATCTAAGGTGGGTAGGATGTTTTTCTGGTGACAAAATATTTCCAATTCTTTGGCTCCTTTATAGTAAAGATGCTCCAAACTTTGCATCGTCACTATGTAGTTTTGAGTTTTTTTATTTGAGGACGTTAAGATGCTCAAAAAAATAATTTAAAATTTCGGCGCCTCTCAAAAATAGAAAACCGCTTTTGAAACCGGCCGAGGACCAAATTCGTCCGGTTTTGATAGTTGGAGGGTGTTTCTTGACCGGTTTCATAATTGAAGGTTGAAAATCAAACTTTGGTGCAAGTTGAGGGTTGTAAAGTGTACTTTACCCTAAAAAATATAGAAGATATAGATATAGATAGACTTGGGTTTAATTGGTAAACTGGCCCCTCCTACAATTTGATTCAGGCTCCGCCACTGCCGTATATGGTAGTCCCTCTGCATGACGTTGCCAATGATGGACAGACTCGGCGATCTCTGCACCATCCACATCCAGCACATCACGCCGCCGTCGTCGACCTGCCCAAAGCAGCTCGATGATGGCAGGGCCATGTCGGCGCCGTCGAAGTGCAGCACCATTGCCGGGAAAACGTCCCAGACACCACCGCCGGACGCTTGGATGCACGCCTCGAAGCCGTACCTGTCGGGCACGCTGGCGAGCGTCGTCTGGTTCAGCACGGCCGCCCTGGCCAGCATGTAGAACGGTTCCACAAGGTACGTGAACGTCGTGCCGGAGTCGAGCACCATGCCGTAGCCACTCCTCCCGGGGCCGACGGTCGCCACCTCGACGACCGAGATGCGCTCCAGGCTGACGGAGTAGTATGCCGGTGCCGGCGAGGAGCGGCGTCGACTGTACCCCGGCGCCCGTCAGGGCGGCGAGGGAGCCGAACAAGAGCGGGCTCGTCGTGGAGCCGCCGCTGAGGCAGTACGAGAACGCGCCGACGTTGAGCTGCGAGACGAGGGACAGCGGCCCGCGGCCGAGCCCGACGATGCCGGAGCACGCGCTGTAGATGTAGATGCCCTCGGACACGGTGGTGCAGCCGAAGCCGACGCCCGGCACGAATTCGCCGCCCAACACGGGGTCGTCTCGTCGCCGAGCGTGAAGGTCTCGTTGCCGAGGAACCCCCTGGTGTGGTGTAGATGTGGGGATCAGCCTCGAGGCCGTAGCCGTAGACGTACTCGCACTCCGCGCCGCCGAAGCCACAGGTCACGGTCGGAGCAGGGCAGCATGGAGAACGACGACATGCCAGGGTAGTAAGAGGGGCCGCCCGCGGGGGTGCAGTTGGTGCACGCGCCGCACTTGATCCAGGTGAGGTCGCTGCCCGTGTCGGCCATTGCTAGCAGCTTCTGCGGCGGCGTGCCGATGGACAGCTCCATGTTGTATTCGTATCCGGCACCGTCCACCTGCAGCGGTGCCTGCGTGGTCACGCGCCCGGAGCCGGAGGCCGCGTCGAGCCTGTCGGCGAGCATGGACATGCGCTCGTGAGACCTGCGCGCGGCCTGCGTGAAGTTGATGGCCTTCTCGGTGCGGATCATGGTGGCACGGAAGCCTGCGGCAGGGCCATCGGAGTAGACGACGGGGGTAGCGAGGAAGGAGATCATGATGAGCGCCAGGATCAGGAATAACATGGCAGCCATGTTTGAAATTTGGTTGACGTGCTTTGAAGCGCCAGGTAGCAGTATATATAGTAGCGATATATGTAATTGAGATATAGTTCTAGAATGGCCCGGAATGCTTTGTTATTTTCTCCTGTATATGGGATTAATTGGTGGAATGAAATATTTCAGGAGGAATGCACTATAGTATATTTTTTTAAGGTGTCAAAAAGGATATAATGGAAGCTGCTAACTGATTGTACCGAAATTAACTACTAGCACTCTGGACAGTCCAAGAAGTGTGTGTATGAATGCGTGTTGTATTGGGCATGGCACAAGTTCTACGTGAGGCCACGTTGACCTCACTAGTAATTTGTTCAAGTACATTCTAGACACCAGAACTATCCCAATGAATTACCAACCTTTTTGAAGGTAAATAAAAGATCATTTCCACGGGCCTTGTTTGAGATTACTCACACAAGCATCAGAGAATAGAGTAAACTCAATTGAATAATCATTTAATGTTCGTGAATAGTTCATGTCCAGAGGTATTTATCACTACCAGAAATAGTAGGATTGCCGAGTGCCTTACGGTTTGCCGAGTGTATTCCATCGGGCACTCGGCAAACGCAAAGTTTATTGTATGTTTTTAATAAAACACTCGGCAAACATATAGCACTCGGCAAACTAAAACTTTGCCGTGTGCCTAATGTAAAACACTCGGTAAAAGACACATTTGCCGTGTGCCAAATATAAAACACTCGGCAAACTACAAAAAAACTCTCGGCAACAATGGACACTCGGCAACCTGGAGTCACGTGCGCTGGGCGTGCAGCGACCATCCGACGGCCGTCGGGTGCGCCGTCCTACAGTTAGAACTTTGCCGAGTGTCCGTTAGAGACACTCGGCAAAGACAAACTATGTCGTGTGTTTTTTATTGACACTCGGCAAACTAATTTGTTTGCCGAGTGTTTTTTGTTTACACTCAGCAAACTAATTTGTTTGCCGAGTGTTTTTTTGTTTACACTCGGCAAAGACAAACTATGCCGTGTGTTTTTTTATTGACACTCGGCAAACTAATTTGTTTGCCCCAAAATGAACTTTTTTTTTCTCTCCAAACTTTTTCTACTCTCCACATACATCATTTGGTACTACATGTTAAAATTTGATATATTTCTCCATCTATTTGCTATATTTAATTAATTTATTGCTGTTAGAGGAATTTTTTGGTTTAAGTCAAATTTGAACTGAAAGTTATACAAATAATGGAATAAATTCAGTGGAGAAATCATATTCATGTTATTGAGTTCATTTTGGGGCCTTACTAGGGAAATGAAAAGAATTTTCGAACATTTTATTCAGGAAACACGCCCACGAATGTGTGGCCGGATGGTTTTTAAATTCTAAAAAAAAGCAAACGAAGTCTGAAAATGACGAGATTTGTCAAGATCTCCTGGTATCATACGTGGAGACTATGAAAAAAATTGAGAAGGTTTCACACAATTTGTCACGTAAGACCTTTACAAACAAAAGCATCTCCGTACAAGAATCGTAGCGTTTCGAAGGATCCGATAAGATTTAGAGTCAAAGTGACGGTCGAATCGGGGTTTGACTTCAAAACTTTTTGTATAGGCAATAGACAACATAGGTTCGTTCACGTCAAATTTTGGTAATTTTTCAGATCAGTTTGATAATTTTAATTTATTAACTGCAATTATAGAATTTTAATTATATATATTGAATTTGAGCTATAACTGCATGAAATAATGGATTAATATTCGTAGAAAAATCAAATATGCATTGTTGAGTGAATTTGACGAGGTATTTTTCAATTACATCGTAACAAATTTAGTAGAACACGCTATGAAGAAGGAGGACGGTGGAGCATGAAATATCGATTTATTTCGCCGAGTGTTTTGTACCTGACACTCGGCGAAAAGAACAGTTGCCGAGTGTCATATAAGGGACGCTCGGCAACTTTGTCGACCGGCCCCACTAGACAGTATCGGGCCGTAATGGAACATTAAAAAAAATAATGCCGAGTGCCCCAGATCTTGGCACACGGCAAAATATAGATTTATTTTGCCGAGTGTTGTGTACCTGACACTCGGCGAAAAGAACAGTTGCCGAGTGTCATATAAAGGACACTTGGTAACTTCGTCGACCGGCCCCACTGCACAGTATCGGCCCGTAATGAAACATTAAAAAAAAATAATGCCGAGTGCTCCAGATCTTGGCACTCGGCATATGCGTTCATATACCCCCGCCCCACCGCGCCCGACCCTTCACACACACGCCGCACCGCACGCCGCCACCCGCCGCCGCCTCCCCGCCCCACCGCGCCCCGCCACCGGCACCGCCCGCCCTCGGTGCCCCGCAACGCCACCGGCGCCGCCTGCCCTCGGCGCCCCGCCCCGCCCACAGCGGCGCCCGCCCCCGGCGCTTGTCGCCCCCAGCGCCGCCCGCCCTCGGTGCCCCGCCCCGCCACCGGCGCCTCCCGCCCCCGGAGCCCCGCCCCGCCCCCGGGGCGTCCCGCCACCGGCGCCGCCCGCCCCGTTAAGATTTTCTAAATGCGCCGCCAAGGATTTAACAATATTTAGTCTAGCTTTGGATTGATAACTGCATTCCTTCACTTCCATAACTATTTGGAGATTAGGGATAGAACAGAGACGAACATTTTTCTGTGACGAACATTTTTCTAGTTTAAGCATCTTGATGAACATTTTTCTGTGACTTTGTGTCTGTTCTTTTGTTACTATAAGTAGGATTACCCTGCATCACTGTAGATCCCTAGTTTGAGCCCTTTCCCATGCACATAGTCTGCCAAGGCCGTTACTCCTGATGGGAATGTTGACGCATTTGCAGCCAGGTTGCTCTGTAGAAATGTAGAAAGCTAGATTACTACTAGTTCTTTTGGTACTCTACATATATGATTGTACAGCCATTTACTCACCTGGGAATCCCTGTCATAGGCTGCCCAGTAATCATCTGCAGTTTCACAAATGTTGAGTTCTCTGGAAGTTTCAACTGGGCAAAAGAACAGCAGGGTCATTAGGAAATTACATTCTGTTGAGTGTTTGGTAACTAGAGAACGATGAAAAATTACTTTGATCAATGGTGCACATGTACGGTGTTTTCCTTTCCCATCTTTCTCATGCTGCTGGGGGTTGTCTGAATAGTTTTTTTGTTAAAAAAAAATTAATGTAGCTAGTTTCCTACAGCTCCCTCGTCGTCGTCTGAGGTAAAGGGGCGAGGCCCCCGTCGCCTACAGCTCCCTCGTCGTCGTCTGAGGAGCTACCTTCCGCGCACGCCTCTGCTGACGAGGAGGAGGTACAGGAGGAGCAGGAGCAGGTGGAGGAGGCACTGGGTTCCGAGGTCTGGTTGCGAGGTCCCTCGACCCTTCCGAGGCGACCGATACCTCTTGAGAGACGCCCGATGGTTCGACCCTCTGGGAAAAAGTAAGTAACTTTAGATGTTCTCAATAATTTTTCGTTTCATATGTTGAAAATTACAATGGAAACTAATAATTTATCTTAATCAATTGGGCAGGGGTTGGATTAAGGTCAGTGGGGGTGATCACAACCGCAAGGTCAACGGCATCCTTGGCCTTTTGTGCAGGCAAAACTTTTCTGGCTTAGTGCAGTTCCGCGAAGAGCTGCAGCCGGCCTACACGTGGGACCACTACGTCGCCGCCCTCGACGCCACTGATCGTGACGGCAGGGTATTCCCCAACAAGGCGGAGCGGGTGAAGGGCGAGCTATGGGTAAGTATTCCTCGCGCTACATTGCTCAATACATCACATTCACTGGACATTCTTGAAGTAATGACTGTATACATTGCGTCTATATGCAGGACTTCTACAGATGCCAGGAGGGGTACGAGGCCAAGGCGGCCTCCATCTGTGAAGAAGCCGCAAAGAAGCTCGTGATGGACATGCACTACGAGGCGCGCGTCCAGGCCATCATCGACTACTATGCTCATTACAGACGGATGAAGGTTAAAAAAGAAGAGGCAAGAACAATGAACCTGACCAAGGAACAATTCTTGCAGGTACATATAGAACATTAATACCTACTTTTTATGAGATTAATTACGCTTAATTTCATTTTTTTCATATGTCATACACTTGATCACGTAGGTGCCTCCGTACTGGTGCGCTCAGCATGCCCAGTGCTGGGAATACATGGTGGACAAGTGGGTGGAGCCCGGGTGGGTGGAGACGCACAACGCTTGCCGGGACAGGCGTTTGCTGATGCCACGTGCATCACACCATCAAGGCAGCGTAAGCCTCGACGAATACAGGGAAAAATGGGTACGCGAATTCATTTCTTTATTCTAACGCTCAATTCTGCATAATTTCTAATCATTTTGCATTTTTGCCGCAGTCATCGTCACATGAGGGCCAGCCTTGCTCCCAGTTCAAGGCATGGGTTCTATCCAAAAAGGGCAAGGCAACGGAAAACATCAACTTCAACCCGGAGGACCCGCCCGAGGCATACAACGATCCCAGCATCCACAGCCGCGTCAGTGACTACACGACGATGGCAAGGCTAGTTCATGGGCCACAGTTCGATCCGAGCACTGAGGATCTTGATGGAGAAATCGTGATGAGGGTGGGAGGAGGCAAGAAGCATGGCCGGTACTGGATTGGCGACAGTACACTCGACACGGCCTCTACTCCCACTCTCTCCCAGATCCGAGCAAGGAGCACGAGCTCGAGCCCGACGATACGCCCACGGCCAACCACTACGCAGTTCAGATGGAGACTCTCCAGGTTATTTCTTATTTATTCATCGTTCGCTGATTGTTACGTACTTCAGCTTTGTATTGTAACATTGGGATGAAATGTTATAGGCCCGGGTGGAAGCAGAAATGAAGCAACGGGAGGAGATGGAGGCGAGGATGGCGGAGATGGAGGCGAAGATGGCGGCCGAGCGGCAGACGATGCAGAGGATAGAGGAAGAAAATCGGTTGAGGATGGACCAAATGTTCCAATACATGCAGAATTTTGCATCGAGTATGGGTCAAGCTTTGCCACTGCC